CTTTAAGTTTTCTATGGCGGTAGCCTACTCATGACAGTTGTCACGTAGGACCTCAGGCTGGTTCCAGACAGTTATAATTCTTTGGATGCTGCAGTAATATAAAGTTTTATTCTGCAGAAAGAAACCATCACCCAGAGGAGAGAATCCTCCACTTAGCTTTCTTGGAAGATTTGTTGGCTCAGCAGTCTAATAACTTCACCGAAATAAGCTCCGAATAACCTCTGTACTTCCCCCATCAGCGTTCAGATGAATCAAAGAAACAACTTCAGCTAAAAAAAACCCAGGCTGAGGGCAAAGTAAGACCCGAAGATGCGGATATATCTCAGATAAGACCAACAGTGTAGGGAAAAATCCAGCTTTTTAAGATGTGATCAAATCAAACATTTTCAATCAATGGATCCGTTCTAGATTATGATTTTGGTCTAATAGAAAGATCATGATACACTGCTGATTAAAAATATCTAGATTGGGGGAGGATGACATTTTTGGCATTCTACGCTGCAGAATCAAAACAAGGTAATAAGCTGAGCTTTAAAATACGAAAGAGTGCATCAGGTGAAGTAGTAAAAAAGGATAGTCAAATTAAATGAAACTCACGAATTCAGTATGGTCTAGATTTTACTGATTCTGTGTTCTGCATTAGAAGAATTTCATAATGTTTGCAGCCGTCTCTCATGCATATATAGCTATGCAATAACTTTTTATTTAAAGCTACAGTGTGTAATAATTACAGGGATATACAGTCAGAAATGTACTATATATTACATAACTATGTTATTTATCATCATCTACGAGCTCAGCCTCTTAACCTTAATATTTGCGTTGCCTTAGAATTTGTTATTTATAATTACATAGGAGCGGGTCTCGCAGCCATGGAGGCAGACATCTTTACGCTACGGCAGCGCAGAGCCAACAAACTAGCGATTGCGAGATCGCCCATTATGCTCGATATTTATTATCTTAAGTCTACATGAAATCTATATCCTACATAGACTAATGAAATACTATCTGTAAAATTATCTATGTAAACAAACCTCATCACTTGAGAAGGTAGGTGATGCGGACGTCGTGGAAGACATTTTGTCCCGTAACGCTCGCCGTACTGTTGGGGGGGAGAAGCGGTGGGGGGGAGATGTTCATGTTGCTGCGGTCTGCAGTCTGGACGTTAGATGTCGCTGAAAATTACACACTGTAGCTTTAATTACCACTTGGATGAAAGCAAAGGAATGCGGTAGCAATAAATTTTGTTGTAACTTTCTTATTTCACCAAACAACTTTCAGAGTGTCATATGTTTTTCTCTGAACATAGACCCAGCTAGTTGTGTGTTGAGAAAACAATTTCAAGTGTGAATCAAGCTAAAATCATTGTCAGATAGTTTTTTTTTAATGCACACAAATGGAATAAGTTAACTTCCATTTCAAATATAAGAATTCAACAAAGATCATTCTTCTCCAAGTCAAACTAATTTCAGTTAAATAGCTTGACTTAACTAGTGAAACTCAACCAAACTAAACTACAATAGGCACCGTGGATGAAATTTTGATTTTTAGAAGCGAGGGATGTAGGTATTTTTTTAATATAACTAACCTCAGGGTGTTTGACCATCCAATCACAGACCAGTTCAGTGGCGCATCAGATGTTTGTAAAGTGAGATTCTCAGGAGTGACAGCGGTGACAGCCAATCACACAGCAGAAGACGGTGGGCCAATCAGCCGCTTGTGGGCGGTCTAAACTCAGAGGGGCTTTAGCTTGAGCTGCAGTTTTCCACTTGGTCCTAGTGCTCCACATCTTGTGCTATAGTGTAACATTGCTTTTGGACAATAAAAAGTGCAAGGGACAAAAAAGGATGTTTGAAAATGTGCAAGGGACATGTCCCACCTTTCCCCCCAAAATTATGTCCATGATAGGCACATAGAAAAATAAATGAAAAATGGTTGACAACCATACCCAATAAAATTATAAACAATATTTCTGTTTGGGATGGATTTTGTGTTTGAGAATTACAGTTAATTGGGCCAAATTAGCTTTAATGCTAATTTAAAGAAAATACATTTTCTTTTAAAGACTGCAGCCTCCATCATGTTTTTGCGAATTTACTCCTTGCACTTCATCAACATCCGCAGAGCTTCCAATCACAACCCGGATTGAAATGACAGTCCCATGACATGTCTGTTTCTCTCTGACCACCTGTTCATGACTCAAAACTGTTTCTTGGACTCTGATCAAGCCTCTGTCATCCTGCCTGACACTTTGGCTGTGAGTAGCCAGCCTTTAGCTTCAACAGGTTCCTGCTTGTCTGAGGATTTCTCACTATTATTTCCAGTCAGAAGAAGCCTGTCTGTAACATAAACATATGATTATAAAACTATATCTATCAGGGGTATAAATAAATTAGCTCTTAAAAGTGTACTGCTTCATTCCACCTCCATAGTGGTTCCATTTGTATCTTTCTGCTCTTTCTGCTTTTTCTCGTCATAGTAGTTTCATCTGGCATGTTCCTGTTTGAGTGTGAAACCATCCTGGAGAGAAATATCAGCTAAGCTGCTGCCACAATTCCCTTCATTTATAGTTTCTTAGAGTTGGGCCTGTTTTTCAGTGTTTAGTTCCTTTTCTCTCCTAGACATGGCTATGGATTCAGCTTCTACTGTGACTAACTGGATGTGCTCTCTTTCATCCTTTGGCATGAAAACTAGTCCTATGCCCTAGTTCGGAGCTTGTTTGCTTAACTGTTTCTTTAATAGACAGGCCTCCTGTGAAGCTAGTTAGCAGTTACCTTTTGCGTCTCTTCTTTCTTTCTGTATGTTTGCTTCTGTCTCCTTGAACTCCCGGTCGGCCCCGCCATAAGGCTGCTCACACTGAGCCTGAGTTTTTCCTCTCCACTGTCGCTGCATACATGCCTAAGGGCTGGTTATACTCCTGCAGCAGTGTGAGGTTGTCTGTGCTATGTTATTCCACACCACAGCGCAAGAGGAACAGTCATGAACTAGCTGTAGGTCTAGATACGGCCGAGGCGATGAGGAAGTGGAAAAACGCAAGAGGCAAATTTGTGCAACAATGGAGGGACATGAGGACCAAAAAGAGTGGGGATCCAGGTGGAAAAAGGGTCCCAGCGTTCTTAGCACCTCACTCTTCTAGCTGGTCCAACTTCATGAGTCGTCTTCCACAATGCCAGTCATACATACAAAACAAGCCGGTAAGGTAGCAAACAGGAAATGTAGGTTTGACCAATCAGAGGCCTCCTGTCTGTGGTCACCTACAATTTTGGAGAGGTGCAGCAGAGTATCTGAGGAAGGGGCGGGACATATCTGCGTTAACTGCGACACACATGCAGACGACCTGGTTTCTGAGCATAAACCAGCCTTTAGTGTGAGGGACTCTAGAGTCAGCAATTAAAGGAAGTGAAAATCGTCCCCATAAGCTCATCCAGGAGGAGCTTTACCTGCAAGTTAATCACTCAATGCAACCAGCTAGTTTCCCTTGACAGAAAACCAATCTGACTGTATGATCAGGTTGAATTGTCTCTATAAAGTGCCTAAGATGAAATGTGTTTTGAACTGGTGCTACATAAATAAACTAATTCGAACTTAACTAAACAAGAAGGTGTTCTATAAAAATCTTTTAATACAACAGTTGACATGCTAATAAAACCATTTATATCCAGGAGATTCTGGGAAACCAGCAGAATAAAAAAGGTTAGTTGTCTGAGCCTATGGCCAGCAAAGCAGCAGTGTTCCTGCTCACTAAATAAAAACAGTTCCTCCCAAATGAATTCTATGATGTTTTTGATGCTCACAAACACTGTTGGTGTCATGCTGACTTTAAAGGTCCAAACGACAAAGCTCACAATTCCTACATCGATATTATGAATGTTTAATGTGTTTCCAGCTGGTAAGGATCCTGGTTTATCTTCTGATGATTTAATTAGGTCTTCTTTTTGGCCACATTAGCATCCCAGTGTTTGTATGAAGAGGCTCACAGCAGGAAATGTGACATCATTCATTCATTGTTCTAGGAAGACAAATTCTGATGATCTTTGGTAAGAATCAGCTCCATGTTAAAAAGGAATCGCTTCCGGACAGATTTACCCTTTTTTGTTTCATATAAATATTTTAGATATTTAAACATATAATGAGCACAGAATTAGATCTGTCAGAAAAATCTCTTATATGTTATTATTTTTTATTAAGAATTAAGAATGAATCCACATGTATATTTAGGCAACTGTAGTATTAATGACAGAAAAACTCTTCTCAGTGCCCTTTTCATCCATCTGTTGGTGAATGAAAGTTTTGGTGAATTTATCCTATATGTGCAGAGTTTCTGTTAGACAGCAATAAACTTCAAATCGCTCTTTTTATATGTTGTGCTAACACGCAGCCATTTAGGCATATGTTCACATGACTAAACACGACAGACTAAAATATATTTGATTACATATCAACTTGCATAAATTCATTTAAGTGCACAGCAGCTGCCAACTGCACTATTATGGAGTCCATACCTCATACATCTTTAAAGAACATGATTCATTATATGTACGTGCATAAAATACATATTTTAGATGGATTAGAGTTGCTTTACATAAAAACACTGACATTAAATGTGACATTAGCTTTTGAAACTATTTGATTGGTATGTTTAATGATCTGGTACAAGTGAGACTAAAGTAAAGACTGAAAGAGCAACATTTTATGTGTGTAAGGCATTTCTGATCAACATAAAAAAGAAAAAAAAAATCAGAAATCAGGGATCATAGCTAATCACTGATTACATTTCTGTAGGATATTATATATATATATATATATATTTAGTAGGAGTTGTTTCTTTTACCACCAGTACCTGACTTCTTCAGGAGCATTTACACAAGATTGAGATTTTCTCTGGAGGTGACTCACTCACACAATCCCATCCTGATGGGTGTGTGTGACACCGACAAAGAGGGAGAGAGAGAGCTCACCTCTTTATATCAAGCAGAGGAGGAAAGGCTGCACAACGGCAGGACTCCATGCAAGGAAGACGACGCAAACAAGTGCTGAACCTTCCAACGAACACCTGAAACAGGTACTTTTCTCTTTTGTCTGAACTTCTCTGTAATATTGTAAAATAACTACATTGAACAAGAGAAGAGTTGATTTGAAGCCAGAGTTTTTATATTTTCATAAAACGTATCTATTGCTGTTGTTCAGCCTGTATGGGTTTCAAAGGTAGCTTTTTAAAGGTATTTAATCAAGATGGGATGGGATGTTGGGATTAAGTTGAAAATATTCTGGTAGTTTGTGACAAAATGATGAGACAAACAGTAGTCAGACGTTCCTGATTAGCCGTATCTGCTCATTAACATGCATCTATTCCTTCTCTTGAGTGTGATGGAGTCAGCAATGAGGCGTCACCTCTTTTTACATCGTTGCTACCTGAGATTGAGAAACTCAGACAGGATTTGTTCTGATTGTGTCCCTGATGCCTACTTGTTCCACCCTCAATCAAAAAAAACGGACACAAAGAACGACAGATTGCTCTGTATCCAGTTCTGATGTAAAAACACTTATAATCACGCAGATTGAATTTTTAAAAGCTGCTCACTAATGTAGTTTTATTACAGCTTTATTTGCATATTTATTTTTTTAATTAAAAGCTTCATTCTGCAGCCCCAGATTGCTCATCCTGTTTTCATTCATGTCCTTTTTCCAACGCATTCCATATCTTACGTATTTTAATCTGGTGAGCACTTCTCATTGCATTTTAATCTAATGATGTGTTCAGGATGATCAGTCATGGAGTGTTGGTTTGATGCAGGCAAGCTGAGATGATTCATGTGGACTGCACACATCATCTAGTCTGCTCATAAAAACCTCAGTAGATAAGATGAGAAGGATCAGACTTAGAGAGGCCTGGAGAATAAAAGTAGAGAAGTAAGATCGTATTAGAATTGTTGACAAGGACGAAATCGCTGCTGAAACTTCTGTAACAAAGCTAATGGAAAGAACTGAAGTGGTCAGTAATTATTCTGCTCAAGTGAGAGTCATTTCATTAACCAATTGTCATGCCACTTTAAACTATTGTTGTTAAAAAATGATGCATTGTTGAAATGATGCAAATTTCACAGTTTATGGGGGCTGATCATCTCATTCTTCATTCTCCTTTTTGCAGCCATGGACTGGGAGAAAACGTCTAATCAGTCCAGAATGAACTCCTCGGCCCCAGCCTCTGACTCTTCTTCTTCCTTCCCTTCATCCTGCTGCAATTCTTCTCACCTCCTCTTCCACCCATCGCTGTTTCCAGTCCCCGCGTTTTCTGGCTTTGACCTACTGTTCAGTCTGAAGCTCCTCTTCATTCCCCTCTACTCTGCCGTGGTATTGATTGCCTGCTCTGGGAACCTCCTCCTCCTCTTCCTCATCTGGCACAACAAAAAAAGACACAACACAACAAATTTCCTTATCAGCAACTTGGCGCTCGTCGACCTGGTGATGTGCATCTTCTGCGTCCCTTTGACGGCCTCCTATGCCTTTGATAGACGTGGATGGGTGTTTGGATACCACATGTGCCATTTTGTTACCGTGATGCAGTCCACAGCTGTATACGCCGCAGTCCTGTCCCTCATGGCCATTGCAGTAGACCGTTACATAGTTGTAGCTTATCCTATTCGCAAAAGAGCGGGATGCCAGTTCTGCTGCTGCCTGGTAGTACTGATCTGGTTGTCATCTTTGGCCTTATCCACCCCAACTGCCCTTCACACAGTGTACCTGGAGCTGCATGCTGCGGGCCTGGAGATGGCAGTCTGTGAGGAGTTTTGGGATGGCCAGGAACAAGGCCGACTCATTTACTCCTGTTTCATCCTCTTCTTTTCCTACTTTGTTCCACTGGCTGCAGTGTCCATTTCTTACTGTGCTATATCATACCAGCTGAAGCGGAGGACCACGTCAGGTTTGACGGCTTGTCCCGAGCTGAGATGTGCACGGGCCGCCTGGAGTAGACGACGTAAGAAGACCTTCTGTCTGCTGCTGGTGTCTGTCCTCTGCTTTGCTTTCTCTTGGCTTCCCTTACAGGTAAATAGAAAGATATTAATAAAAGATTCTGATGATTAAATGACATTCTAGGCGGGAAAGGTCTGCAATATGGAGACTCCTTCTAAATAAGCATCTCTCGAGAGTTAGAAAATATAATTTAATCCCTTTTTCTATCCGAAGGTGCAGCCGGGGTTGATATGAAACCAGCATCCCTCAATCTATTGCATATGCTTCTTATTCTAGCAGGGTTGCAAAGGAGCTGATGCATTTCTCAAGCAATAATTGACCAAGAGGCGGGATAAAACTTGGACGGGCGGCCATTATAATTCTACCAAAGACACACAAATACAGCACACTTTGTGTTACGTGACCATGAGCCTTTATAACGTTTTTAATTTTTTGACACATGTACCACCTCTTTAAAAGAATCCTTACATTAATTTTGTGCAAAAAATATAAATGAATTGCATTTTTTCTCCCAAAGCACCCTCTTCTTTTTTATGTAAGATAAACTTGATCTAAAAATAAAAACTTTTAACAATTCCGAAAAAGTGTGAAAACAATCCAGTTCTTGGGGCTGTTCACATTTCAACCATTTAATAATGGTTATTTTGCAGAGCAGAAAGTTAAAAGTAAAGCTTTAAAAAAATAAGTAAATAAAGATTTAAATTTTTTTTTATTAGTTCAAAGGTTTCTGGAGTTTTGTTTTCAGTCCTTATTTTTGAGGAACCTTAAACAAGCAATATGCCCTAATTTCTCATGGAAGGACTAAAATAAACTAAGAACTATGATCTCAATGTGTTGTTCTCTAGTCTCATCTTTACCAGCTGGGACTGCATGCACGTTCATGTGCGTAGCTGCCAGTCTTGGTTTAGCTGCTCTTTTCTCAGATAGAGCACTTAACCAAAATGGAAGAAGGATCCTTTGCCAAGATAACATTCTCTTCCTAACAGAATTATGATGTTATGAGTTCTTTAGGTAGAAGCAGGCATTGCTTTGTCACACATCTTGTTTTGGTCTACAGACAGAGCTCAACAGTGAAACATTGTGGTGATTTTTTCTCCCACTCTTCTTTCAACATTTCCTGTGGCATGCAACTAAATAACTTGATTAAAGCAACTTAGGAAGGTTAGATTCCAGAGATCTTGGCCCATCGCCTTTGATAAGAAGCTTTTGTTTTGACCATAAATGTTGCTCTAAAAGTACATTTTAAAATGACTAAGAGATTAAAAGTGGTTAAAGGAATAGTACACCCAAAACATGATTAGCCTTCATTTTCTACTCACCCCCATGCTGAACAA